GTGCAGGGTGATTTTTCACTTTATTTTTTTTTTCTCTCTCTCTTCCCTGTCTCTGTCTCTCTCTGGCAAGCATATGTTCCCTATAGCAAAAGTACCCCCTACCCCCCACAGAAGTATTTGAGGACAGGAACTCCCAACTTCTTTCTTCTCTTTAAGATCCTCTAGGGAATCAACGTACCAGAGACACAGGAATGTAATTAAATTGATAAATAGCCTGTATTTTAAGGACTATAGATCTTCCTTACTTTGGCTTTAATGACGATAAAACCTTTTGGTCTTTTTATCCTGTTTCAAACATTAAGTCTGCTGTTTGCGCTTCACAGTTGATACTACGTTTCTGACCTCACACAAAATTAGGTGGAGAAGTTACACACACACACAGCACTTAGCAATGATAAACTACTCATTTTTTGTTTGTTATTCGTTTGTTTTTTTACATCCTAGAGCTGGTTTTTCTCATAAAGATCTTACTTTGTTCTCGCCATTTGTCCTAGGTCACAAACTCAGAAAAATATGACCACGCAAATCTTCAGTGCCCAAGAATAATCCTGAAGTCCGGGCTGATTCTTTGGGCTTGTTTCTTTCTCTGTTCTCATTTCCCAAGTTTTCTTTTAACTATCTAACCTAAGACGCCCCAGACATCTGCTCCGTATGTAGCCAAAGAAGAGTCAGATCAAACATTTAGCCTTAACCTGCTTATTTACAGCACTGCATATTTTTTTTCAGAGACAGAGAGAGAGGAAGAGAGAAAATGAGAAATCACCCCCCAGGAGGCATGGACACACCCCAGTCCCTTCTTTTCCATTCCCCTCTTAGGACTTTGGGCATGTATGCACATGTACCCAGCATGATTTTCAAGCCACTGAGTCTGGGACTCAAACTACGGTCAGTCATGTAGGAGTCCAGTGCCTTTAGCACTCCGCCACCTGGTGGCCCCTCACAACACTGCATTTTTTTACTTTAAGTAACACTTGGATCTGAAGAGCCTCATATGTGGGTATATGGTAGGTTCCTAGGATCCTCTAGGCTGCATCGATACAAGGCTTTCAGAATGTCCATGGGTTGTCTTGAGTGCCAGGCCTTAAGGAGAATAAAGACATAGGAAGATGGTCTCATACTTGATCGCAGTAATCAGATGACATACACGAGCTTCTGGACAAAAGTTCTCATTTCGTAAGGTTGATTGAAAGGACAAAAATACAAACAGATGTCCAAAGAAGGACCTTGTGGGCTGGGATTCTAGATGTGGTGGGACTTGAACTCAGCCCTTGAGAAGATGTAGGAATTGAGTGAACAGAAGTGTGGAAGCGAAGATACCGAGATAGTTTGGCGTTCCAGGAAGGCTGTGTGTCAGCTTCGCTGGCATCCTGCACCACCCGCTGCTGGGGTACGTGGTGCTGGAATGGCAGCATGGAACACGGGCATTTGTCTCCATCTTCACACCCCAGGCTCCTGGAACATTGCCGGAAACATAAGTACCTCTCCAGCTCCGGGGAGGTTTTTGCACTCCTGGTCAGCAGCCTCTTGGAGAACCTGTTGGACTACAGAACCATCATCATGCACGATGAGAGCAAGGAGAACCGCATGAGCTGTACGGTGAATGTGCTGGTAGGTGCCACGTCCCTGGGGTAGTGAGAGGGCACTGTGTCCCACCCACCCACCCCAGCACCTCCCAGCCTGACACTAGGGAGATCTCACAGACACAGTGACATCCTGGGGCACCTTTATGGAGTTTGCATCCTGGTGAGTCTCCATGGAATGGCTGACTCCACACTGGCCGCAGAACCAGCTGCCAACTTTGAGGATAAATTTGGAAATGGGAATGGAAAATACAACCCAAACTCGGGATTCAACTCTTTCTGAAGGCCATCCTCAGTGTGTTTCTCTGTGTCATTTATACATACTAGTCTTGTGTTAGAATTACAGAATACCGGTGAATATGCATCTCAAACACAATACTATGAATGAAGAGGTAGTACGTGAGGTCCTCACGGTGCCTGACCCGTTGGTCTTGCCTTTCGGTAGGCATGTTCACTAGGACCACGGACCTCAGAAGTTAGGTTACCATGCAAACTTCTGTGTGGAAACTAAAAACATATCGCTTCCCTGACTGCCCGAAAAGATAGTTTATCTGGTGACTCAAGTAGGTGTTGTGTATCTGTTCCCTTAGGAGGTTTCTCCTGTTTCTAAGAAGCATGGTCCTTAAAAATATCCTTCAACTTATTTTCTTGAAACCTTTTTACTCTTTTTTATATGGAGGTATTTGTTGAAGAGAAATACTAAAACTCCTCAGAAAAGTGACACTGTTGCAAAGCAACAATAGTATCTGGCCATTCTTGTGGCAAACTCAACAGTTCTTGATTTACATCGGTATTTTCTGACCCTTCTTTTCGGCAGAATTTCTATAAAGAGAAGAAGAGAGAGGACATATACATAAGGTAAGCGGAAGGGCATGTCCTGGTTTTGCTGTTTCATGTTATGGCTTTGTGATGTTTTTCTTCAACAAACAAAAACTATACCCAACACCATGCTGGTTTGGGGTATAGTTTGAGGGGCACCTAAAAGTGTATGGAATGCTTCATTCACTCCGAAAAGATCCACTCTTTAGACAAATAAGTACATATAATTTGAAGGTTGTGTAAATAGAGTCAGGTCCATTCTTAGGGGGGTAAGAGGGGTGGAGGGTTGACAGAAAGAAGATTTCTAACCAGGCTAGTCAGGAGAGACTGCACAGGGAGGGAGAGCCATGAAAATGCACCTACCTAGGAGTCTTAGCCCGAGGGCCATGAGTGTAAATCACTGAATATGAAGCATACTGGTTCATAAAGTATCTGTGCTCTCAGAAAGAGATTCTGTAACTTTCATTAGCTTCACAAAGGAGTTCAAGACCTAAAAAGTATCAATCAATTATTAAACCCTACTGCCTTAAAGAAAGGCTAGGGGGCCAGCAGGTGGCATAGTGGTTAAGGTGCTGGACTCCCATATGACTAACTCTGGTTTGAATCCCAGACCCAGCAGCACGAAACTCAGTGCCAGATGCGTGTGCATGTGTGAACAACATCCATAGAGGAGAGTGGAGGAGAGGGATTACAGCATGACCATCCCCATGGGGGGTGATTTCTCACATTCTCTCTCTGTCTTTCTGGCGAGTGCATGTGCCCTATAGCAAAAAAGCGCTCAGAAAGAAAGGAAAGAAGGAAGGAGGGAAGGAAGATAGGAAGGAAGGGTAGAAAGTAGAACAGATGGGGTAGGAAAGGCTCAGAGGCCAGCAGTGGCACAGTGGGTCGAAGGACTAGCAGGGAACCAACTCTTTTGCTGAGAGAGAAGTTCCCCTGTACAGTCGCAGTGGGGGGATTAGGGATCAGGCTGGGGTCTGGTTATAGAATGAGCTGAATGCCAGATCAACTCAGGAGCAACTGAATGCCCTCTTCCCCCCTTCTTACCAGATATTTGTACAAGCTTCGGGATCTGCACCGAGACTGTGAGAACTACACGGAGGCTGCCTACACGCTTCTCTTACACGCAGAGCTTCTGCAGGTATGTGGATCAGGGGTGCTTGTTCAGCAGAGTGGAAGATAGAATGCAGCATGTCACCCATTCAGTCTTTGGGGACTAAGTCCTATACACTTGATGGTTTTGATGGGAAAGAACCTTCTTCAAGGGATAGCCTTTTATTCAAGTATATTTTTATACCTCCTAAATAGGAATAGCTCATTTTCAGATCAAAGTTGTGACAGTTATTTAAAAATCTCTAAGAAGCAGAACACAGCTTACAGGCCCCTCGTAATTGACAGTAAGTAAAGAAACAAAGCACACGTTGATTGATAATGAAAAGTTTGTAATACTGCCGAGATCAGCCCTAAATAATGCGGTACCATGGAAGAACTTTCCTGTTTATGCTCTCTACCTAAATAAAGCCACATTGTGGCATGGCTGTAAAGACATCTGTATGTCATGAATCCCAAGCGCTTGGCTGTCTCCTCCAACTTGGGATTCTGTAAAGCTCTAACCCTCATGTTTTTTTTGACATCAGATTTTGAATTACTAGTAGACAATTCAAACTTCACATGTCAGTAGCAGAAATCCTTATTTCTCATTCTTTAACCCCTTCCCGACCCATCCCACCTCCACTTCCCTACCATTTCATAAAGAATGCCACCATCTACTCAGCCTCTCAGGCATCTGCTTTGTAGGCATCTTCGAGTCTGTAGTTACCACCTCCCATGTGCTCTGTCAGAATCGCAAACCCTCCGTCTCGGACATGCCCTTAACTACACACGTGGTTCATTTGCCTTGCCACCATCCCTGTGCAGGCCACCAGCATCACAGTATTCCCCTTATAGACTTCTCTGCCTCCATTCTTGTCCCCAGCAATTAATTTTCTTTTGTAATTTATTTTTGTTTTATGCTGAAGTAATGCACATACATTGTTCTGTGCTACTGGTTAAGAACAACAGTTCCCTGCCTCACCACTTCCCAAAGGAAATTCACAATTTGTGTTTCAGATTGGGGGACTAAAAATCTTACGGTATATGGATTAGGGAGTAGTGCTTGTTGACTGCAAATTACACCCTGGGATGATTGGAAAGAAACACCTGTCTAACCCCCAGTGTCTGTACTCCCAGTGCAGTGTGTCTTTATTTGAGCTGCTTTGAAACCAAAACTCTATTATCTCAGTGTAAGATGTGAAGTGCAAATGTAGCTTTTTTCTCAGATAAATACTCAGGAGAAATTGCACTTAATGCATGTAGTCCAGTGGTCAGAAAGTGGTGCAGCAGTAGAGTGTGACACTCTACGGGGCTCACTCACATGCAGACGTTCCCTGTTCAAGTCTGGTAACCTCCCTGAGTACAGACGTGCTCCTTATCTGGGGCCAGATGAAGGCAGGGGTGGGTCACGGCATCAGAACCCCCTTGAGGGTGCTATATCTCTCTGTCTCTTGCTTTCTCTGTCTCTCTCACTTGTGGAAGAAAGAAAGAAACTTTTAAAAAGAAGTATATTCCCTCTTTTCCTTATTGATATAAGATCTTATCTTTTTCATGTACTAGATACCTGTGTTAGGGGTTATCTTTCTAGATTTTGTGAATTTTTGCATGGTTCTACATCCGTTCATGTACCAGTACCATACAGTTTGAATTATTGATTCTTTATAATGTGTTTTAATATCTCATAGTTACTTTTCATTGATTTTCTTTTTCAGAGTTTTCCTACCTATTCTTTTTTGTTTATTTTTCCATATGGACTTTGTAGTCTGAAATATAGAAATTAATTTAGTGAGAATTTACATATTATGAAATAGAGCTTTTTTAATCTAAAAGCATGGTATGAATTTCCATTTGTTCAGGTCTCCTTTTGTGCTTTTTAATGATATATCCCCGTTTTTGGCATCGTCCCTGTGATGTTGACTCTTAAATATCTTATCTTTCAGGGTTTATTTTTGTTTGGGTCATTTTTTTTTCTGTCTTCTGTATGGTTATTAGCTATGTGTCTAGAATCTATTTATTTCCAAACATATTAATTTTTTATCCTGCCACTTAGTTTTGTTATTGTGCATAGTTTTTCCATCAACTGCCTCATATCTTTCTTTTTAAGATTTTTTTAATTTAACACTTATTTATTTATTTATTTTAATTTGACCAGAGAGGGGGCAGATAGAGAAAGTGAGAAAGCAAGTTGCCAGGTCCAGGACTCAAACCGTGGTCGATCATGTGGGAGTCTAGCACCCTTAACCATTGAGCTGCTTTGAAACCAAAACTCTATTATCTCAGTGTAAGATGTGAAGTGCAAATGTAGCTTTTTTCTCAGATAAATACTCAGGAGAAATTGCACTTAATGCATGTAGTCCAGTGGTCAGAAAGTGGTGCAGCAGTAGAGTGTGACACTCTACGGGGCTCACTCACATGCAGACGTTCCCTGTTCAAGTCTGGTAACCTCCCTGAGTACAGACGTGCTCCTTATCTGGGGCCAGATGAAGGCAGGGGTGGGTCACGGCATCAGAACCCCCTTGAGGGTGCTATATCTCTCTGTCTCTTGCTTTCTCTGTCTCTCTCACTTGTGGAAGAAAGAAAGAAACTTTTAAAAAGAAGTATATTCCCTCTTTTCCTTATTGATATAAGATCTTATCTTTTTCATGTACTAGATACCTGTGTTAGGGGTTATCTTTCTAGATTTTGTGAATTTTTGCATGGTTCTACATCCGTTCATGTACCAGTACCATACAGTTTGAATTATTGATTCTTTATAATGTGTTTTAATATCTCATAGTTACTTTTCATTGATTTTCTTTTTCAGAGTTTTCCTACCTATTCTTTTTTGTTTATTTTTCCATATGGACTTTGTAGTCTGAAATATAGAAATTAATTTAGTGAGAATTTACATATTATGAAATAGAGCTTTTTTAATCTAAAAGCATGGTATGAATTTCCATTTGTTCAGGTCTCCTTTTGTGCTTTTTAATGATATATCCCCGTTTTTGGCATCGTCCCTGTGATGTTGACTCTTAAATATCTTATCTTTCAGGGTTTATTTTTGTTTGGGTCATTTTTTTTTCTGTCTTCTGTATGGTTATTAGCTATGTGTCTAGAATCTATTTATTTCCAAACATATTAATTTTTTATCCTGCCACTTAGTTTTGTTATTGTGCATAGTTTTTCCATCAACTGCCTCATATCTTTCTTTTTAAGATTTTTTTAATTTAACACTTATTTATTTATTTATTTTAATTTGACCAGAGAGGGGGCAGATAGAGAAAGTGAGAAAGCAAGTTGCCAGGTCCAGGACTCAAACCGTGGTCGATCATGTGGGAGTCTAGCACCCTTAACCACCATGCCACCTGCCAGCCCCTTTATTTAACTTCATTTTACTGCCTCATATCTTGAAGAATCCAGCTGTAATGTTTGCAAATCAAGGTGGCTTCACCTCCAGCTGCTCACTTTGGTACTCCTAGTTTGTTTTTTCTCTCTGATTGTGTCACCGATGCCTTCAGTGTGACAGTAGTCATGGGGCTTGGCAGCCCTGCATTGTTGCTGACCTCTTTGGGAGTGCTGTGTGTGTGTGTCCATTAGGCATGAAGGTTGTTTTAGAGCTGGCATGTGTATCGTCTGTGTGCGTAGGTTTCATCTTTAATAATTTCAATTATAATATGGATGAGTCAAATACATATGTATATACACATATTTTCCTAATTTTGTTTTTGGCCAAATATTTATTGCCTTCATCCCTCCTATCGCTTTTGTGTCTTTGCAGTGGTCTGACAAGCCCTGTGTGCCTCATTTACTTCAGCGGGACAGTTACTATGTTTATACCCAGCAAGAGCTCAAAGAGAAGCTGTATCAAGAAATCATATCATATTTTGACAAAGGCAAAGTGAGTGTCGTTTGTTACTTGTTTTCATAGTAAGGGACACAAAAATGTCTGCAATATTGCAGGACAGTTCTCATGCGAACTGCTCAGAGTGAGGGCCGCCTACACAGGGTAAGAGCATCATGCCCAGCAAGAATGCCCTAACTTCAGGTGCCGCCTCCAGTACTTCTGACCAACTGGCTGTAAATTTGGGGGATGTACCACCATCCTTTTAGATTCCAATAATTTTCTAGAATGGCTCATAGAACTCAGTAAAACACTACATCTAATGATTACAGCTTTATTAAAAAGGGTGCAAATCAGGACAAGCCCAGTGAAGAGACATAGAGGGCAAGGTCTGGGAGGGCCCCAAACTCAGTTTCTCAGTCGTCTGCCTGTGGTCTCAGAACCCACCACCTTCCTGGCAAATCCGTATGTTTGTCATCTAGGAAGCTCATTTGAGTCTCAGTGTGTAGAGTGCTTAGTGAAGCTTTATTACATGGGCATGACGGATTGAATCATGGACTATATGATTAACTCAATCTCTAGCTCTCTCTTAACTTCTTGGAGTTTAGGTTAATATTGTGTGGCCCAAAGCCCAAAGCCTCTAATCACATGGTTGATCTACGGAGCATGGCTAGTCCTCCCCAACATGAGATAGCTGAGAGCCTGCTGAGTCGCCTCATTAGCATAAATGTGGGCGTGGCCTCTGGGACCCCCCAGGGATAACAGAGATACTCTGATCACTGCGAAAATTCCAGGGATTTAGAAGCTCCCTACCTGGAACTCAGGACAAAGACCTGACAAATTCTTTATTATACAACAATAATTCATGGCTTACTCTTTATTATTCCCTTATGTACCTTTGAATTTTGATTTTTTTTTTTTGGAGAGGTTTTTGCTATTGTGCACTCACCAGAAAGACAGAGAGAGACAGAGAGAAGAAAGCAAGAAATCACCCCCCAGGAGGGATGGCCACGCCACAATCCCTTCTCCTCCATTCTCCTCTCGGGATCTTGGGCATGCACGCACATGCACCCGGCGTGAGTTTAAGCCACTGAGTCTGCGACTCGAACCATAGTCGGCTTCATGGGAGTCCAGCGACATAGCCATTACGCTAACTGCTGGTCCCTGAATTTTGGTATTTTTAATGGGAGAGAAAATGAATAGTTAAATTAAGGTGTAAAAGGCAATACAGATCTTTTACCTAGGGAACACATATCCTGATGGAGAATAGAATGGGCAGCCTCCAGCCCCATTATCCATAGCCATAATTTTACCTTTTTTTTTTTTAAGCTACTTTATTTATTTATTTATTTTTAAATTAACTTTATTTATTGTCATTTGACCAGAGCGGGATAGAGTGAGAAAGAGAGGTTGGGAACCAGCAGTTAGCGTAATGGCTATGTCGCTGGAATCCCACCGGAGCGACCA